ATTATAAATAAAATAATTTGAATTTAGCAAAATCGGGAATTACGATGTTTTTGTTTTGCTGCTTCACTGCTCTCATTCACTTATTCTTCTCTATTCACATTGTTCGTCTTATTGTTGTATTTGCTACGTAGCCGACGATGTCTGGAATTGTTGCAAATTTTCTCACAATCCTCCAGTGATGCAAATAGTTTCTTGTCGGTGCTGCAGCCCATATATTTGCAATGTTGCGTATCCAAGTCGTAGACAATGCCCAAAGTATTTGAGATGCACAGACCATTTATGGAGGGCTGTACCAGACAAATGTCACCTGGAAGAGAGAAAAGTAAAATACATAAATTTTTGTTTTTTTTGTTTTCGTTTGAAATGTTTTAGTGGAGAGTTTGAAGTTTAAGATCCTTTTAGAACCATCATTAATGAATTCGCTTATCTAGCTAACTAATAATGAACATTCCTAGCAGTAAAAATTACAATTATTGTGTCTATTAGCTAAAGTTATACACACTTTTTCATTGCTTAAAAAAACTTTGTAGATGAAATGTAAGCATTTCTTCGAMGAATTTTTAAGATCGTTTCACATAATTTTTATCAAGAACCACTACGTTTTAGGAAAGTAATGAATAGATTTTTAAAGACTTGTGCGGAAGCCTGGCCAGGGCGGATTGTAGATAACTGAAAAACTGACGAGCGCGGTAAGCTGGGCACAGATCAGTTCCCCGTTCTCTTCGTGTGTTTTTACTAGCGGGTGGGGTGGATCTTAAGAGGTCCACTGAGCTTTTAAGTATAGCCCTTCGTTTTTAGGGAACTAACTGGTCATTATCTTATTGGCGTCCACATGGCATGGTTGTGAAAGTAAACTTGAACCAAATTTTGGATATTATTTAAGATTTCTTAAAGTTTTACATTATACATAGCAGTGGTAGTTCGGGGACCTTGCTTTGTATCTGACTTTTAGCTCTTCGTAATATATTTTCATTATAAAATATTTCTTGGTCTATGTCGCATATTCTAGTATGAGAAMAAAGAGGGATTCAAATTTCCAAAATAAAAGTGTGTTCCTAAGCAGAAAAGGTCATCTAAGCTCGATGTAACTTCGAAATTTTTTTTATATTTCTCAGTGCCTATGTTCCTTAAGTGTTTATTCGTAATGTTGTCTCAACTTCGCTATCAACCTCAACTCTTTTATCGATCTTTTATGGTTTCTGAACATAAAAATCATCAAAAATCATCTCTTGCGTTGTGTTTTTGTCAATCAGATATCTTTTGCTAAATTAATTTTTTGAGATTCATTCACAGCCTATATTATTTGTCACCGATTCCAATAAGACATGCATTAMTAGGAAATAAAATTGTTTGAGGGTTTTGGGATTTTACTTTTTTCACACTTGCTCGATTTGTTAATGTTGTGATAGGAACTAAATACAATTTTGTGCTTCAAAAATCGCTAGGAGGCCGAAAAAAATTGATTCATTAGTCGAAAAACTGCTATGCGATAGGCTTTAGTTTGATATCTGTTGGAACAGAATCTGTTCTTATGAAGAATATGAATGGCATAAGTCAACATCAACAGGTTTTAAGTTTTCTAAGCGTTGTGGCATGGTTCAAGCATTCAAGGAAAGTGTTAAGATTTAAAGCAACGAATGCTTATCTCTTTTTGTGATTATATCAAAAACTTTTTATTCACCGGAAACGGTAAGGCACCGGAAACGGATACATGTGAATACCTTTTTTTTATTATATTTTATAAACCCTTAGCACTTAGCGTAGCGTAAACACTGATTACAAGCCGCAATCGCCTTCGCTGGCGTTTTCTCAAGCAACGCGCTGGTCTGATTAAACTTTAACCTTGCACGGCTTATTATTTCTTGCTCCGTATTAAAAATAATGAAACCTAAAATATATAATAAAAATAACAATTTAATCGCCTTACGTGCACGTCCATAACTGCCCACGGTCAGGCAGAGCAAGCAGAGCAAACCCAAGACAATATGCGCCCTCATGTTTGATATGTGAGTTTTTACTTTGGCGCGAGCGGAAACTGTTGACTTCTTTTTATCAAATTTTGTGTCTGAATTTAATTAAATTTTTTAAAATTGATTTTTAATTTTATTTATGTTGTTTATTTTATTTAATTTTTTTATTTTATTTTATTTTTTTAATTTAGATGTGTATAACCTGAC